AATCAGGAGTATTGTCGTTAAATGAAGGAAATGACTTACAATGTCTGAATTAATAAAATAAATAAAACATAATTGCGTATCTTCATGGGTGTATCTAATCAGGAGTACTGTCGTTAAATGAAGGAAATGACTTACAATGTCTGAATTAATAAAATAAATAAAACATAATTGCGTATCTTCATGGGTGTATCTAATCAGGAGTACTGTCGTTAAATGAAGGAAATAACTTACAATGTCTGAATTAATAAAATAAATAAAACATAATTGCGTATCTTCATGGGTGTATCTAATCAGGAGTATTGTCGTTAAATGAAGGAAATAACTTACAATGTCTGAATTAATAAAATAAATGAAAACGGAATGGCATTTATTAATCTTATATTACCGTGAAACTCTGCCAATAAGTATCGATTTTAATCTTGTTTGTGATTCATTGTGTAACATGCAAATAATTACTAATTTAATATTGTTTAGTGATTCATTGTGTAAGTTCATACAAGTAATTACTGATTTAATATTGTTTAGTGATTCATTGTGTAAGTTCATATAAGTATTTACTGATTTAATATTGTTTAGTGATTCATTGTGTAACACGCAAGTAATTACTGATTTAATATTGTTTAGTGATTCATTGTGTAACATGCAAGTAATTACTGATTTAATATTGTTTAGTGATTCATTGTGTAACATGCAAGTAATTACTAATTTAATATTGTTTAGTGATTCATTGTGTAACATGCAAGTAATTACTGATTTAATATTGTTTAGTGATTCATTGTGTAAGTTCATACAAGTAATTACTGATTTAATATTGTTTAGTGATTCATTGTGTAAGTTCATACAAGTAATTACTCATGTATTTCAGATGGAGTTCACTTTCCGGGCTGACTTCCTATGGCGCGCCAAATTGCGTGTTGAACAGGACGAAGTAGAGACAATGGGCAGCATTAACAAGATCCTCCTGGAAAACATACTACCAGCCCATGTCGCGGAACATTACTTGATCAACAGCAAAATATCAGATGTAAGTTACAACGGTTTCTTTTCTTTCGTTCTGATTAAAGTATATTGCACAGATTAGTGGATACAAGAATATGTTCATTATTGTTACAAATTACTGATAAACCTAAACACTAAAAAAAATATCAGACTTTCATATTCTTTTCCCTTATCTCACAAAAAATAAAACAGAAAGTTAGAAAAATAGTGCTACTAAAAAAATAAAGTTAGTCAGATATTTCCTTTTTCTTATTGACTTTACCAGTTATAAAGAAACTTGTGTAAGTATTTAGTTATAAGAACATGCAAATGAAACTATATAATTACGAAATATGAGCTTCTGCTTAAAACTTTCCCTTTACTTGTTTCGAAAGTTAATGCAACTAGACAAGACCATTTTTTTCGAGCAGGAACTCTACCACGAATGCTACCGTAGTGTGGCTGTGATGTTCGCTTCCATTCCTAATTACAAAGAATTCTACGATGAGACAGACATCAATAAACAAGGCCTTGAATGTCTACGGCTTCTAAACGAGATCATATGTGATTTTGACAAAGTAAGCTGTTTTACATAATTTTTTTTCGAAAAAACAAAAACTCAAACAGGTGAAGTTAATGGTCGTCCTGCGAAGCGTAAAGCAGCACGTGCTCAATTGTTGTTGTTCTGATTTCCGAGAGTTTTAATGATATTGTTAAAATCTTTGTATGAAATACGTATTGCCTAATGCGTCATATAGCGATGATTTTTTAAAATTCTGTTCTCACTGTAACACGTGGCTCATTTCCACTTTCGTTAGTGTGGACTTTTTTATAAATGATGCACGTGGTTAACGCCACGCAATCTAAAGTTCGATTTTTTAAAGATAAAAGGAACCAGATAAACGCGTTTAAAGAGAATTATCTAAGTCGTCAGTCTTATTTTACTTTAAAATCTACTTCTTACAAAGTCATTGTTTTTATACTAGAAGAGGTTTATTATCTAAGTTTTTTGTTTTTTTGTTTTTTGATGCTGCTTTTAAGTGTTCTTCTGTGTATGCCCTTAATTTAACGTTTCTGCGATACAGTGATTACGAGACTCCAGAAAAGTTCTGAGTGTTTTAGACGGTACTTCGTATTTTCCGATCGAGCTTTATAACATGTTATGATTTCAGTTAATTACATCTCTTTCGTTCTCATTCTTATCGACCGGTTTAATGTGATTTTATAACATCGATATGTAGCTTTTATCAAAGCCTAAGTTCAGCTGCGTGGAGAAGATAAAGACCATTGGAAGCACCTATATGGCAGCAGCGGGTCTCCAACCAGGAAAGGAAGAAAATGTATGTATTCATCACAAATAACAATATATTTACACGCGGAAAGGACTTCAACCTTTTTACTCATAAGAAAATAAATGTACATATATTATTCATAGAATCGAAAAAAAAGAAAACAAATGTTATTCTTATGATACGAAATAAAAGGCATAATTTATTTTCATAGTCAGTGTATAAAAAAAGAGAAAAATAAGTTTTTCGTGTTCATTTAAGAATTAAAAAATGTTAGTCATAATTCATAATGTATTGTTTTTTTTTTGTAAGGACGTATATTTACTCTGAAGCTATAGAGACTGCTCTAAGTAGAATACAATGAAATATTATAGGTCAAGAGAAAACGATTTGCGTAAAGATACAGAAGTAATAAGGCTCATAAAATTACAAAACAATTTCCTAAGATTAAGTATTGTCCCTTTTTCACACTAAACTATAGATATTTGTTAAGCACGTGTTTATCCACTTTTGTAGACAAGCAAATTTCTTTCATTTCACCAAAAAACGTTTCGTTAGCTGTAATATGTGTTGTTTATTCACGTTTTCCTGCTTCAGTAAATACTGCGAAGTGATATTGGAAGTGATTGTCCTGGGGAACTATTGACATCTAAAAAGATCTTTCATGTTCTTCTCCGTAGAATATTCTTTCAGGGATACTGCTGCTACGATCGAGAGTGTGTGAAGCTTTTGCTTTTCATTATGACATCTTTGAAACTCAGCGGTTAGAGGCTATTTTGCAAGTATATATGAGCGATAAATGGTGAATTGTACTAATTACTCAAGTTAACATACTTGTAAAAACGAAAACGTGCAACCATATGTCTACTTAATTCTCAAGTTTTAAATTCAAAGTTTATAA